AGGGGAAATGGTTTTTTACACCCCCCCCCCCCCCCGACGGCGGAAAGACGGAAGACACCTAATACATGGCTCACACAATGTTGCTGATGCTATTACTATGTAACATATTGCGAATTCATCATTGAATCCGTCCCGCGATGGGGTTCGTGTGCGGCTGAGATGCCCGTTTGCGCTTCTGATGCAAAGGATGCAAAAACCGTGTTGCAAATGACACCATGTGCAGCTCTCCAACACAGTCGCATTGAGAACGAAATGCCTATATATATGTCACTTGAATGAATCTGTCATACCATCTTGGAGATCAACAACAGCCCATTTGTTGCCGCCTCCTCACCCAGTTTACACAGGCACACACCGCCAATAGCCAAGGACAATTGCAATATTTCTCTGTCTACAATCCTTTCCTTCGTATTACACTGGGGGAGAATTGAAGTTGGAGTCTACCAAAGGGCAAGCCTGTGAGACGAAGACGACACATGCGACACAATCATGGCGGACGTCTCCCAACCAAGGCTTGTTTACTTTGGGAACGAGTTCCCCAACGACGACTTGAATGACTTATTCCGGAAACTACTTCAGCACAGTAAAGATCGAAGATTCCGCTTGCTTTCCGCATTCCTGGACGAGGCCACTCTTGTTCTCCAGGAGGAAATCGCAAGACTCCCCCACAATGTTAGAAGCCAGGTACCTCATTTCGATAACATTGTAACACTCTCAGAAAATGGGTACCTTCGGGAACTCGGACTCGGGGCTGCGATGGAGAGCGCTTTGCTAATTGTACTTCAACTCGCCTTGTTTATCGGGTAGGCCATTCTCTCTTGTCGAACTACAAGTCTGAATCTAACATGAACTAGACACTATGAAGCCAAGGATGCAGAACTCAATCTGCACAAGGATCGTACTGCTCTGGCCGGCCTCAGCGTCGGTCTATTCTCCGGTGCGGCCGTGGCACTCTCTACTTCTCTTGCAGAGGTGGTCAAGAACGGGGCTGAATGCTTGAGAGTTTCCTTCCGACTTGGCGTCTACGTTGGTGAGTTCAGCAGCAAGTTGGAAGCACCTCAGCCAGATGGGATCCTCGAGAGTTGGGCACATGTCATCACGGGCATGTCTGAAGAATCCGCCAACGATGAGCTATTGCGAATCAACAAAGAGCTTGGGAATCCCGAAATCTCAAAGGTTTTCATCAGCGCCGCCGACAAGGTATCAGTCAGTCTAAGCGGACCGCCATCTCGGATCAAGGCTGCTTTCCAGCACTCGAGCAGTTTCCGATACTCCAAGTCTCTACCTCTACCTGTTTACGATGGCCTCTGTCACGCAAAACATCTCTATGGGCAGAACGACATTGATGCCGTCATTGACAGCGAGAATTCTCTCATTACGTTGTCACGGAAGCTACAGCTTCCACTCATCTCCTCCAAGACGGGAAAACCGTTTTTGGCCACCACGGCTGGTCAGCTGTTGCCAGAGATTGCTACCGAGTTGATCACTGGAACCATCTACCTTGACAATGTGACCGAGGGCATAATCAACCATGCTCATTCCATTTCCAACGCTGAAGAGCTGCGGATTGACACGTTCCGCACCTCCATAGTATTCAAGGGGATTCTAAAGACCCTTGAAAGTACCTTTTCCAGCATGGAAATCGTAAAGAACGACCTGGTCAGCTGGGTTCATGACGACTTTGGCACCCGCCAGGCAAGCAATGCCGGAAACGCCAAGCTTGCGATTGTCGGTATGGCGTGCCGTATGCCTGGCGGAGGTAATGACCTTGAACAATTTTGGGAACTGCTCGAGCAGGGCCGTGATGTCCACACCACAGTTCCTGCTGATCGATTTGATCTGGAGACTCATTACGATCCTTCTGGCAATACCGAGAATGCAGCGACTACACCCTACGGAAACTTCATTGACCGTCCCGGGTTTTTCGACGCGGGTTTTTTCACCATGTCTCCAAAAGAGGTAGGTGGATGTAATAACGGTGATTCGGCTTATAGCCCGGCCAGCTGCTAATGGTGTACAGGCTGAGCAAACAGATCCCATGCAGCGCCTTGCGCTCACAACGGCCTACGAGGCCATGGAGATGGCTGGCCTTGTTCCCGGCCGCACCGCTTCGACTCGCCGTGAGCGCATTGGAACCTTTTATGGGCAAGCAAGTGACGATTGGCGTGAGCTCAACGCTTCGCAAAACATCGGCACGTATGCGGTTCCCGGTGGTGTTCGAGGCTTCACCACCGGCCGTATAAACTACTTCTTCAAGTTTGCCGGTCCGTCTTTCTGCGTCGACACAGCCTGCTCCAGCTCAATGGCTGCAGTTCACCAGGCCTGTATGGCCCTTTGGGCCGGAGAGACGGATACTGCCATTGCCGGAGGCGTAAACATCATCACCGACCCGGACAACTACGCAGGTCTTGGTAATGCCCACTTCTTGTCCAAGACGGGACAATGCAAAGTCTGGGACAAGGACGCCGATGGATACTGTAGGGCTGAGGGTATTGGATCCATTGTGATCAAGCGGCTAGAGGATGCTGAGGCGGACAATGACAACATCTTGGCTGTTGTGCTATCTGCTGCGACGAACCACTGCGCAGATGCCATCTCAATAACTCACCCACACGCGGGACACCAGAAGGATAACTATCGACGGACTCTCCAGAAAGCTGGAGTCAACCCTCTAGATGTCAGCTTTGTCGAGATGCACGGCACTGGAACCCAAGCCGGCGATGCCATTGAATCAGAATCTGTTCTGGACGTATTCGCTCCTTTAAAGCCTCGCCGCCGTGCAGATCAGAAGCTTCTTCTCGGGGCTGTGAAAAGTAATATTGGCCACGGTGAAGCAGCTGCCGGTATTTCCTCCCTTATCAAGGTACTTCTTAGTTTCCAGAAGAGTGCTATTCCTCCCCATGTTGGTATCAAGACACAGATCAACCCTACGATACCAAAGGACCTTGACAGAAGAAACGCGGGTCTGGCGATGAAGATGACCCCATGGCTTCGGCCGGAGGGAAAGAAGCGTATTGCCATGGTAAACTCGTTTGGGGCCCACGGTGGCAATACTACACTACTTCTTGAAGACCCCCCCGAGATACACAGACCTCGTGTCAGTGATGAGAGTGCAGATGGGCGTGCTCTACACCCAGTCGTTATTTCAGCGAGAAGCAAGAAGTCTCTGCAGGCCAACCTCCAAAACCTTCTAGACTATCTGGGGAAGAACCCCGATATAGACCTGGCTGATTTATCCTACACCACTTGCGCAAGACGTATGCAACACAACCTGCGCGTTGCGACCACGGTCTCAAGTGTCTCCGGGCTTCAGAAGTTCCTTCGCACTGCCATCGACAGCAAGGCTGGATCGGAAGCCAAACCAATCCCGCCAAATGCGCCTTCAGTCGTTCTTACATTCACTGGCCAGGGTGCTTCTTACAAGGGCATCCGGCAAGAACTATTCGACGAGATGCCATACTTTCGCGACCAGGTACTGCAGCTTGACCAGCTTGTTCAGCGCCTTGGTTTCCCATCTGTTGTTCCTGCCATCACAGGCAGTGACGATGACGAGGTTCTGTCTCCCGTCATCAGCCAGCTCAGCATTGTTGTTTTGGAGATTTCTCTCGCTCGATTCTGGGCACACATGGGAGTAAAGCCAAGTGCTGTCATCGGCCATAGCCTCGGTGAATATGCTGCCCTTGCAGTCGCCGGTGTACTATCCGCCGCCGATGCTCTATATCTTGTCGGTCGCCGAGCCCAGATTACGGAGCAGCGCTGCAATGCCTATAGTCACGCGATGCTGTCAGTCTTGGGAGCCCCCGAAGAAATTGATCGGGTGTTGAAGGGCGACGTCGAGACGGCAGCCATCCGATATGAAGTTTCCTGCCAGAACACGCACGCAGATACCGTGCTTGGAGCTTCAAAAGCTGACATTGACACTATCCGCAAGGTTCTTGAGGCAAACACATTCAAGTGTATGTCTTTGGAGATACCGTTTGCTTACCACACGTCTCAGATGGACGCTGTAATAGACGAGCTGGAAGTGCTGGCCCAGACGATCCCCTTCAAGGCTCCCAGTATTCCCGTTCTCTCTACTATGCTCGGTGCTGTTGTTTTTGATGGAAAGACAATTGGCGCTAGCTATCTTCGACGTCAGACTCGGAATTGTGTCAAGTTTGCGGCTGCCATTGAGACTGCCCGAGATCTTGGAATTGTTGATGACAGTACAATCTGGATCGATGTCGGTCCTCACCCCGTCTGTGTCGGCTTCGTGAAGAAGATCATTCCACAGGCGAGGATTGGATCATCTTGCCGACGAAACGAGGACAATATTTCTACTGTCGCCAAAACACTAGTTACTCTGCACCTCGGGGGCATTACTCCTCACTGGAACGAATACTATAGAGCCAACGAGAAGGCTTACACTTTGCTCAACCTTCCCAAATACTCTTGGAACGAGACAAACTACTGGATCCCGTACTATGGCACATGGACTCTCGACAAGGCCCATTTCAAGTATGGAGGCAAGCCTGGAAACAATCGTATCAATGCGGCATCTGTTTCTTCTGGACTTCGAACCTCGACTATTCACCAGGTTACCCATGAGGTCGTTGAAGATACCAGGGCATCTCTACACGTGCTTTCTGACATTCAGCATCCAGAGTTCCGTGAAGCTGTATACGGGCATACCATGAATAAGTGCGGAGTTGCGACATCGTCCATCTGGACAGACATGGCTTTGGCTGTAGGTGAATACCTGTACAAAAAGCTGCAGCCGCAGGTCAAAGATGTCCACATGAACGTTTGCAATCTTGAAGTCCTTCATGCGCAGGTTGCCAGCAAAGTCAAAGGCGCATATCAGCCTCTGGCCCTCGAAGCCGACCTGGACTTGGACCAGCAATACATGTCGCTTGCCTGGTACAACGTCAACCCAGACACCTCGGAGCGCGAGGCTGAACATTTCGCAACGGCAGCCGTACGGTTCGAGGATCCCGCAAGCTGGACCGCGGAGTGGAAGCGTACTACGCACTTGGTCCTTGGACGAATCGAGGCCCTGCAGCAACTCGCCAACGAGAACAAGGCCAATCGCATCTCCAAGCGTATGGCCTACACTCTGTTCAAGAACGTGGTAGACTACTCTGAGCAGTACCGTGGCATCGACAGCATGATTCTCCACGAGTACGAGGCCGTGGCCGATGTGACTCTTGTGAATGATCGCCACGGCACCTGGCACACGCCTCCTCACTGGATCGACAGCGTCTGCCACCTCGCTGGTCTGATCATGAATGGCAGCGACGCTTCAAACACGGAGGACTACTTCTACGTTACGCCTGGCAGTGATAGTCTTCGACTCCTGAAGCCTCTGGAGGCGGGGGGGAAGTACAAGAGCTACGTCCGAATGTTCCCACTGCCGGTCGAAGCCGGAAACATGCATGCTGGCGACGTATACATCTTGCAGGATGACACTATCGTTGGTGTCTTGAGCCAGATCCGCTTCCGCCGTGTGCCTCGACTGCTGATGGACCGCTTCTTCTCTGCCCCCTCTGCAAGCAAGTCCGGAGGCCACAATCCTGACGAGACAATCTCCTCCTCTGCCGCTCGTCCCAAGAATACACTGGCACCTGCGTCACCAAAGGCTGTCGAGCATACGCCCAAGCCTGCCGTAGTGGCTCCCGAGTCAACTGCGTCGGCCCAGGAATCGAATGGACGTCTCACAAGCGCATCCTCGTCCGGTAGCAGTGACGCCAGCCCCGAGATTCACACACCACCAGAGACGGGGGACTTGGATACGAGTGTTGTAGGCCAGTGTATCCAGATTATTGCCCGTGAGACCAATTTGGACATGGGCGAGTTGACGCCAGACGCCACCTTTACTCAACTTGGAGTCGACTCTCTCATGTCCTTGGTCTTGTCGGAGAAGTTTCGCAACGAACTTGGAATTGATGTGAAGAGCTCGCTGTTTTTGGAATGCCCAACCATTGGCGAGGTTAGGGAGTGGATTGATCAAAACTGTTAGCCTTTGATAGCAGCCAGCACCATGCATACCTTGAATGTAGAAACATGGAAATATTATTCCGCCTTTCTTTAGTTTCAATATGAAAGCCGGAGCAGACTTGGTATTTTTGCCTCGTCCTGAATTTCATGGAGAACGCTTGAGCCAGTACATCCATCTCCATGGTGTGAAATTGTGAATCCAATCGGTGACGGCTTCCCGAGCTCCGACTTGACTCGATGAACATCCGGCCACCCTGGCCAAGAAGGACGCAAAGTTGATGCGCTGGGTGCCCGCCATTGACGCGCAGTTGTTTATCCAGAAGCCGGCCATGTCAGTGCACATGTGACCAAGAAGGGCAGGTCATTCCGCAGCGTGTCGTCGACTGTTGGCGCGATGTCGATCCCGTACGACCCCGACACGGGCCTGGATGCGGAGGATAGCGAGGACCAGACGATCGTGGTCGGATGTTTCGTGCGACGCATGTCGGCTGAGCTGGTAGTATGTGTGCCACAGGGAGTCAAGGTAGCCCCCGAGGGAGTCGACCCCATCTCCAATCTTACAGTATCGCTCGCTGATGCAGGTTCGGTTGAAGAAGGTTGCTTGAACTGCCCCTGAGCGGCGGCTCACGCACATCCTCCCGGCCGCTGGAGTGGCGGTCCAATGCAGTGAGTTCGGAGGTGCGGACGGTGTTGGTGAATACGTAAATCAGTCAGGTGCAGAATGAGTATGAGGAAGCGTAATGCAAGGCACATGTGTGGTAAAACCCCAGCCAACACGGCACCTGGGGATTAAACTTCACATCGCTCCAAGGTCCATGTCTCCTTGGTTTTCTCTCAGGCCTCTGGGGGCAATGCCGTCAATGCCCTATTTGCACAAGAAGCGGTGAGCAACCGAGCCTGGAAGCCCCAAGGCCCCAGCTACTTACCCAAGCCCTTGCGCAACCATCGTCAGGTCAAGGTTCAAGCCTTCCATACGCCCTGGCCTCCGTGTGACAATGGCTCGCCTGTAAGTCTCTCTGTTTACGTTGTCAGCATCATCACACCCTCTCGTAGAACAAACGCTCCCTAGTCAGGACTCATTCTGTTCCGATCCTGATGAAATTGGCCGCCACCCTCCACGGACTATCTTCAAGAAAGAAAGCCCCCAGCTCCAATTGCTGGCTTTGGGTTACTCAAAGCCAACCTCAAGGATAGCCGTCAGATCTTGTATCGGACGACAGACAGTTTCGGCCGCGCAACCGCCATGGTGCTCACTGTTTTGCTACCCCATCATCCAGATTACACCACATGTGCAAGCTCTTGTCGTGTCAAATCGCCGAGGATGCCCCAACTGCGGATTGCGCTCCGTCACATGGCTTCTTGGGCACCATCATTTCAAGCTGCCTTTTGCGCAAATCAGTCGGCTGGGCACGCCATACCTGATGGCATACGAGCAGCTATACACTCTTCAAACACCACGGGGCTACTCGCGCGGTGCAATCACCTCAGCTCGGGCAGCTGGGCTTCAGCCCTCTTGTGCACCGGAGCTTAAGATCCTCGGCATGGCTATTAGTGAAACAGAACCCAATACGGCGAATGTGATCGACGCTTCGAGTAAGAGCCCAGCTGCTGCTTTGCTTCCATCCGGAGTCCTCGGGCTTGGAAACGAGTGCCCTGTCGTTGCCAATGGCATCAATGCGCACCTAAAGCCCGAGTATCGCTAGGCCTTTGGTAAAGTAAGGACACAATGCTTGTTAGCGAATGGTCCTGATTTTGCGTTCAAAGACGTTGCCAGCACGTTGAACGATTTGACCGGCTTGCTCGCACAAACGTCTCCAAAGCCATTACCGAGAACAATATGGGCTACCAGGGCATTCCGAAAATGCCCATCTTGCTTTACGAGGGCGTATCTGACCAAGTTGGTGTAGTGAAAGACACGGACGGCACATACGAATACTACTGCGCTCGCGGTGCGTCGATTCAGTATGTGCGAGACGCAGTGGCAGGGAATGGCATCGCGGCAGCTACCCCTGCGTCAAAAGCGCCATCGTTTCTTATTCAAGTTTTGAATGGCCGCAAGCAACCGGAAGCTTGCTCCAAGAAGACGCTTGCATCGTCCCTCCTTGACCCTGCGACCGCCAGGATTCTACCGCCGTACATTTTACAGGCGCTGTTGGATCTGATTGGAAATCCTATTTGACCATTGCCAGTGGGTTAAGGAAAAGGGGGCATCAGCCCCTAAGTTATATAGTTATGTTGCTGGTGCTTGGGCCGAGGACGGCCTCTATTGAATACCTGTTGGCTTTGGTAACCTGCTACTAAAGTATGGGTGCATTGTATTTCACAATAATGTAGACAAATGAAGCTGTAAACGATGCTGGGTCTCCTTTCTCTGTCTTAGACCAAAATTTTATCGAGTTGCAATATCTAGCCGTACACGTAGCATGTTTCCTTCTTTTCGGTCTCGTATGTCGTCTAAAAGACACTGGCTCGGGAGGCGCCGACTTTTCGCCATGAGTGTATGTCGTATCTGTATTTTTTTTTATAACACTGAAATGATAAATAAAATATAATGTGGATTCCTTAGAAAAAATATTACCTATATAAAGTAGGGTTTAGTTGGTTTATATTTATATTCTAAGCAGAATATATTTACCCACCGAGAATCATACACTAATGTACTGTAATATATTACAGTATAAAGCGCGACAGCCAGGTATCTGATCTGGTTCAATACTTTAAGCCCCCGTGAAGTTGCCAAGGCCAGAGCCCCAATGGCCAAATATACAGCGACTCAAGGCTATATCGGTTGACGTTAAAATTTTTACATCAATGTCGCTTTGCCCACTCCTTGTACCAGACCAGACAATCCTCATTCACGGTCCCCGAACCTCTGGCAAGTCCGGTTACAAGCCCGCTCATAATCTTCTTGACCAATACTTCAACCTTCTTTCCATTCGCCGTGACAGGAATGTCCGGACACTCATCCACAATAGCCGGAACGTGTCGAGGAGAAAGCTGCTCTCGAATAGCTTCCTTGACTGCTGCTACGAGTTCTTCGCTGAACATTCTGCCCGGCCGCATCTTCAAGAACAGGATAACTGTTTCATCCATGTCTCCGTCTCTACGGCGTCCAATACAAAGCGAATCCTCCACCGTTTCTGGAAATCTCTTGATGATCAAATTGTAGATCTCCGCGCTCCCGAAGCGCACACCGCTTGGATTCAAGACGCCGTCTGACCGGCCCAGCATGAGAAGCCCTCCTGTACGAGAGTTTATCCTGATGAAATCGCCGTGGGCCCATACGCCGGGAAATTTTTCGAAATATGATGCCTTGTATTTCGATTCCCCGTTTGGTCCCCAGAATTGAACCTTGAGTCGCGTTAGTTTTGGTGCAGGGCATTATGCATGGTGGCACACTTACAGGCTGCGAGGGAAATGGCTTCACACAAACAAGTTCACCGGGTTCCACAGAGCCAGTAAGATCCTCGCCGTTTGGACCCCATGACTGAACCGCCAACCCAAGGGCAATGACTTGGATCTCGCCGGCGTATACGGGAGAAAGCGGCGATGGCGTGCCGAAATCAGATATGATGTCCGTACCGCCGGATATTGACCCCAAGTTCACGCTTCCAAACGCCTCGTATATGTATCTGAATGTCGATGGCGCGAGCGGCGACCCGGTCGAGTAAATAGCCTTCAATGTATTCAAGTTCAAGCCTTGGTTTCTGGGCATGAGCCGGTTCTGCTGCAGGATGGAGAAGAACTTGGCGCTCGCACCGAACTGGGTAATGCCCAATTCATCTATAATCTTTGGCATAGCCAGGTCATCTTTGACCGCCTCGCCATTGGAAACATGATAGAATGGTGACCCGTTGTATAGGACGACTGTAGCGCCAGACGCCAGACCTGACACACACCAGTGCCACATCATCCACATACATGTTGTGATGTACAAGAGGCGGTCCCCCGGCCGAATATCACTCTGGATAATGTGCTCCTTCTTATGCTGTAGAAGGGTGCCAATCGCGCCGTGAACAATGCACTTTGGGGCGCCGGTCGTGCCGGAGCTGTACAGTATAAAGACAGGGTGTTCTGCTGGCATTTGGGCAAACTCCATGCTAGAAGATGCATCTCCGCTGGATATAAATACGTCAAAGGTAATCACGTTGGTGTTGAGCCCAGTGTAATCAATCTCTTCTTGTTCATGCCAAGTCTGCAGGATGACGGCAGCCGCCAGTGTCGGCAGGGAGCGAATAATCTCAGGCAACTTGGGCAAAACCGGGTGCACCTTTCCATTGTAAGCAACGGCGTTATCGGCAAAGAGTAAGTGAGGCTCGATCTGAACAAGGCGATCCAACGTGGCGCTGACTCCAGTGTCGGGACTGACAGCCGTCCAGATCGCCCCAAGAGAGGTCGTGGCCAACATGGCCACTAACGCACTGCTATGGTTCGCGACGTAGCCTGCTACTCTGTCTCCTGGTTTCAATTCCATTGCCTTCATAGCTGCTTGGCACTGGTGTACTTGTCCTCGTAGTTGTTTCCATGTAAGCCCTTTCCGTTCAGTTTCCGTGACGCTGATTACAGCAACATCGTCCTCCGACACGGGCTGCATGGGAAATAGCAGATTTTCAGCAAAGTTTAGTCGTGCATCTTTGAACCATGTTGGTCTTGGCCACATGCGTGACGCATCATCTATGATCTCTTTATATGGTTGCGAGTGTCGAATACCACAGTAGTTCCAGACTTCGCGCCAAAAGTCAGAAGTGTGTTCTATACTCCAGGCATGTAGTTCTTGGTATGTCATAAGATGCGTCTCATATTTGGTATTTATTTCCACCAGGAACTCCCACATCTGACTGGTCTGCGGTGAGGGATGGCGCCAAAGAAGTTCTTCTTCTAGTTCGCTGGAAACGTTGCTAAATTCATCCTCGGTAGACGCTGTTGAATATACTAGGTTCTTCTCATTTTGCAAATCTGCCGAGCGGAATTGGAGATATGTTTGAAGTTTCTTGATGAAGCGGCTCACCTTGGTGAGGATTG